CTATTTCAACGCTACTGAAGTTACTGAAGCTACTTGTGGTACTGCTGCTTCGACTGTACACTCCACTACTACAGATACTACCGCGTTTGTTGTGAATAGTACTACTACAACTACCACTGCTACTACTACTACTACTACTACTACTACTACTACTACTACCACTGCTACCACTACTACTACTACTACTATTACTACTATTACCACTACTACTTCCGATATTATTAATAATAGTAATTGAAGAGTTGGAAGAAGAAGTATTGATTTTACTAGTAGCAGTAGTTATGTAATTATTATTATTATTATTATTATTATTATTATTATTATCAAACATATGCGACAGTCTTGTTTTAAAGTTTTTATCTGAGATGAACTCGTTCATCCCCTTCACCTCTTTGAAATTGTAAGCCGGTCTCGTAAACTTGTACATTCTGTTGTTGTTGTTGTTGATGTTGTTGTTGTTGTTGTTAATGTTGTTGTTGTTGTTGCTGCTGTTGTTAGCACTGATGTTGCTGTTGTTGTTGTTGTTGATGTTGTTGCTGTTGTTAGCGTTGATGTTGCTGTTGTTGTTGTTGATGCTGTTGCTGATGATGTCGTTGTTGTTGCTGCTGTTAATGACGTCGCCGTTGCTGCTGATGACGTCATGTTTGTTGTCATCGATGCTGTTGTTGTTGTTGTTGTTGTGTTTGTTGTTAATACTCTTACTCTCAGCGTATGCGGACAACAACATAGCCAAATTTTCTTTGAAGTTAACATTCCCCAATGCGTTTTCATTCTCTGTTGAAGTAGTTGTAGTAGCAGCAGTAGAAGTAGTTGTAGTAGAAGTATCAGTAGTAGTAATAGTAGTAGTAGTAGTAATAGTAGTAGTAGTAGTAGTAGTAGTAGTAGTAGTAGTAGTAGTAGTAGTAGTAGTAGTAGTAGTAGTAGTGGTAGCAGAAGAAGAAGCAGTAGAGACAATGGCAAATGTAGAAGTTGTTGTTGCTGCTGTTGTTGTTGGTGATGTAGATTTAGTAATATCAATATACAAAATTTTGTTGTCGTTGTTGTTGTTGATGTTGTTGCTGCTGCTGTTGTTGTCGTTGATGTTGTTGTTGTTGATGTTGTTGCTGCTGCTGTTGTTGTCGTTGATGTTGTTGTCGTTGATGTTGTTGTTGTTGTTCTGAACCGGATTGAGTGAAGAGAGTGCGGGTGGGGGCGGTGGTGATGGAATGAAGAAGACTTCATCATTATCACAACTCAGTTCCGTCATATTTCTTTGTCATAATTATTTTAAAATTTATTAATCCGTAGCAGTTATTAAAATAAAAAAAATTTAGTAAATTGGTTGATAAATTGGTTGAATGAATAATTGAATTGATTGAATGAATGATTAATTAATTGGTTGATTGAAAGAATGATTTAATAATTAATTTATTTATTGACTGATAAGAATAAAAAACTTAAATAGACTTACTTTTATTATAAAGGAACAGAGAATATAATATTAACCAAATTAAAAAAATCTTTTTAAATGAAATTTCACGGCTTAAGCCAGTATTAAGTATATGCAAACATGCTTTCTCTCTCTCTCTTTCTCTCTCCCTCTCTCTCTTTCCCTCTCTCTCTCTTTAAATATACAAATAGTTATAAAGTATTATATAACAAGTGAATCTGACTGAGCCCGGTTTAAATAAACTGCTGGCATAGTCACTAGAGCAATGCAAAGCCTTTTATGAAGGATAAAAAATGAGATTTTACGGTTAAGACGTTAAAGAATTCTTTTATTTCTTTATTAATTGCTCTTCGTTTCTTTCTTTCTGACATTCTTTGTTCGCTTTTTTAATCTCTCTCTCTCTCTCTCTCTCTCTCTCTCTCTCTCTCTCTCTCTGTGTTTCTCTCTCTTTCTTTGTGTGTGTATGTGTGTGTGTATTTTTTTGTGTGTGTATGTGTGTGTGTGTGTGTGTGTGTGTGTGTGTGTGTGTGTGTGTGTGTGTGTGTGTTTGATGATGATGATGATGTAATGTAGAACTGAGCAAGACAATGCAATAACTGCTTTGCTAATTAATGAATGACTGTTAGAATCATAGAATAATAAATTAACAGCAATAACAATAATAATAAGCAATAATAATAAAAATAATAATAATAATTTTGATAAAAATAATGGTGAATAATAGATTATATTATCCATCACGAAACAGAAGATTTATAATTTATATTATTATTATTATTAGTTGTTGTTGTAGTAGTTGTAGCAGCAGCAGCTGTAGTAATAGTAGTAGTAGTAATAGTAGTAGTAGTAGTAGTAGTAATAGTAGTAGTAGTGGTATCAATATACACATTAAAATTTTCTAATGCAAAGTATGCCCGAATCATTAACATGTACATATATGGTTTTTTTAAGTACGCTGCTGAAAACGCATTACTATTATTACACACAAACACACACCACACACACACACTCATACACACACGCACACACATTCACAAACAAACAAACACAAACAAAAAAACAAAGTCATACAAACATGCATACATACTAAATTCAGGATTTGACCAAATTAAACTTGTATTGACTTACTTAAAACAATTGAATACAGACTTAAACTCTCTTGGTTATTCCTATATATAAATATATATATATATATATATATATATATTTAATACCATTTGTATATATAGTACCTTGTTTATATTTCTGTTTTTAAATGTCAATTAAAATTATTTCATGTCACGTAGAGTTTTGATTACTTGAAAGGTAAGGTTTACAATACTAATAGTAACTACATTTGTACTCTTTCACATTCTAACGTGTAACATTACTACTTCTGTAGCTGCTACTACTGCTGCTGTTGTAATACTACTACTACTAGCTCTGCTACTGTGGCTACTTCTGCTGCTACTACTGCTACTGCGGCTACTACTACTTTTAAAACAACTACTAATACAAGAAGCGTTGTTAACGTTATTACCGTTACTACTAATCGTAATAATGTAATGATATTTTTAATATTACCTAGTTTATGATTTAATTTAATTAATTAAAATTTAATTAGGTGATAATTAAATTGATTGGGATTTAATTTAATTGATTGAGATATGAAAATGGAATTATTAAGTGTGCTGCGGGTGTGTCTGTTTGTAGTTGTTGGGCTGATAAATATTGGAGGTTAGATTCGTTTATTTGAATCGGTCTTTCATCCATCCATCCATTCATTCGTCCATTCATTCATTCATTTTTCTTT